TTTTATGATATTGAGAAAAAAAATGATTTTCATTTTTTGTAAATATTTAGGAGATATTGTTTGTATTAACTCTATCATGTATTTTACTTTTCCAGCCTAGATAGAATGATAAACTAATAATATTTATTTATTTAGTGTTCTGATGCCTAATGGATCTGGATGTCTTCTTTTCTACCTTTCCTTAAAGTTAATAACAGTTCAAAATGGCCCATGATTTTGCTTTAGTTTGATGAAAAAAATTTGATCTACTTCAATGGTCTTAGCATGTGATACCTGTCAATGGCAAGTAGAGATTTCTATCCAGGAAGTTAGGCCAGGAGGGCAGTTGTGCTTCAATAAGATTGATGGACTGCAACTTTACATCAGAAATTAGTACTACAAAAACATTATATTTGTTCGTCAGTTCATAAAATCACAAAATATTATGATAATCTCGCCTTTGCACAGTACCGAACAACGTCCCACCCAGCCGACTATTTTTTAGCATCGACCAGGGACATTTTGTCAGTTTTTGCGTGCACAGGCGGCATACAAAGAGATTATGTTTCCTGCAGTTGGGTACTGTAGTGTGCCTTGCACTACAGTGTGCGATTGAAGTCATGGATACATTGTGGAACCGCATACAGTGCAGCACTTCTGTAGTTATCTTGTTTTGAATAAAATTTACTGTACATAATTTTTTTTAGCGTGGCGCTGATATTTTACGCGTTGTGTAGTCTTAGTTATTTTTGCCTAAGCATGGTAATCATTTCGTTTTTTCTCCCAATCATGGCAGTCTCTCCATGCTTAAGTATAGCTGGCAAGACCACTGTATCAAGGTGCTATGTTTACATTTATAAACATGTAGCACCTTTTTAGATTATAAATGATAATTAGGAAGCATATTTTTTTTTTTTAGAACCAGAACCAGTTTTAGTGTTCGTATTTTTTGTCCGATTTCAGGCTGAAAATGTATTTACAGTGGCTATGTTTTGGTGACCTAATTCAGTCTATTGTCATACCTACAGTACAGTATATCTCAGTTGCATAGTTTTCAAATTGTTATAACCAATCTATCAAAGGAGAAAATAATTATGTTTTTTTCAAATTAAAATAGATAGTTTTGCATATGATACAGTACAAATCCTTGGATTATTCCTGATTTGCGTAAATTAAAGACCCATTTTTTACATAATAAAAAAAAATGTTTAATCAACCCTATAAGAGATCTTTTCTTCCACTTGTTTTCATCTTTTTACATAATATTAGAGGGGATAAAATATTCATTATAATCATTAATGTCATGATTTATTCCATTTAATATGAAAGCAAAGAACAAAGTTACCGGTAATTTAAAATATAAAATGATTGGTCAATTATGAATGGGGGAAAAATGTTGGTGCTTTAATGCATTTGTGGAAAATACTGACATATACAGTATTGGTGTTTATTATAATTAGACCAAACCACATGCTTATTGTTATTGAACACTGTCAAGAACAGTCTCTCTTGATTTTCTGTTAACGGAACTGAAAAATCCAAACAAAAAAAAATACCAATAGGGAAGCGTAATGTTCGCTGAGCACTGCATTGTTAGGTAGGCCTATGTAGTACAGTATTTGGAAAACAGAGAAGACTAAACGTTGAGTTCATTGTACTTGTTTACTCAGGCGAAACGATTTCATAGTCAAATAATGAGTATTGAAATATCCTGTATTATAAACATACTCAAGCATGTACTATTCTTTTGATGCGTAAAGGAATTTATAGTCTGCAGTAAACATTGTACAGTATTTAATTTCCCTGTCACATAGTAGACTACATTTTAATACTCATCATTTCAGGATTTTATTGTCTGAATCAGTCAAAATGGGACTCATTTTAATGGAAGCTAAACTGTTTTTTTAATTGGAAAAAAGTGGAAGTTTTTTAAAGGTAAATTGAAAGTATTATGGTTGAAGAAAAAATTCAGGTTTAGTGGAATTAACTTAAACTTTGTAAAAAACAGGTAGATAAGCCCTACCAGTCAGATATAATAGTAAATATACACTGGACATATAGTATTTTAAAGACTACTTATTGACAAAATACCAGCTTTCGTGCACACACACACTTCATTTTTTAAGGTGAATGTGATATACATTATGTGGCTTGGTCCGAAAACTGTCAACTGATCCTTGTTTGTATCCTTGGCAAGACGCTTTCCTCTCTTATTTAATTACCCCGTCCTTCGGATGGGTAAACTTTTTAATTGACTCTTTATATGTGGCAAAGACAAGCCAAACCAGTCACTCGTCGCAAAAATCGTTTTTGTGTTATTAATACAGTGTTAAAGAGTAAAATAATAGCTATAAAATGGTAAAAAAAATCATTCTAATCGGACATTTCCTTATGAAGTTATAAGCGTTTAACCACACAGCTGTTTAAAGAACAATATATGAGAAATCAGTCTTTAAAGTTTATGATTTCAGGCATTTCTCATGCAGAAACTATCTTTAAATCCTTAAAAGGTGTTGTTTTAATATTGAAAATGGGGAAAATAACAGCATAGGGTGGTGTGTAGATATATAAAGGTTAGTTTAGTGCAATAAAATAGATTTTTGAAAATTTGACATTTTAGCATGTTTTGGCCATTTTCTCTGAAACACGATTTGCGACGAGTGACTGGTTTGGCTTGTCTTTGCCACATATGCAAAAGAACAAAAAAAAAAGGACTGTTTCCTGGTATACTGATAATTTGTCATCCCTTGATGTCTGCGCTGTCTATAAAATGTCTGTAACTGGGATTGCAGCTTATTAAAATTACATAATACAGTTTGTTAATTGGTTAAAGCCTTGGCCCATGTGCCTATGGTGAATAAAGAATTAAATGATTGAATAAGGATGTAAGTTAAGGTGGCAGGTAGCCTATATAATTTGGTTGCCCATCACCCTGAAGATTTAAATAATATTCAGTATTTAAATTATTAGATACTAGTATTAAAATAAATTTAAATTAAAAATAAGAAGACAAATAATTTCCTAGAATAAACTATGTACATCAGCATTGTGGTTGAAGAAGAAAATCAGGTTTATTTGAATAAATTTAACTTTGTAATGTATGTGGTTTCGTCCGAAAATCAACTCCAGCCCCTAGGCCTCAATAGAGAATTATAAGGTATTGTTCCATCCTGTATTAAGTGGCAACTGTATTTGCTGTTGGATATGAAGGAAATAAAATAATTTTTTTTAAATGAAATAATTAATATGAATTTTTTATTGAAGTTGGTAGAGAAAATGATTTTTTAAAGTAGAACATCTGTAGGCCTAAATCACTTGAAAACTGAAGAATTACATTTTAACTACTTTACTTGTTTTTATTTAATAGTCACTCGTATTTAGGTAACTAATATATCTTAACATTCTATGTTACTTCCCATGCACTCCACTGAATACGTCTTTTGCAAGGCCCTTCGCTTAGAAATAGATGTAAAAAATATGGTTAACTTCCTTTTCTGTTTAGGGCCTTTCCCCCCCCCCCCACATATTTGGAATCAGCTACCCATTCTGTTATATGTATAGACAGTCGGCAAATTTAGTTTTATTTAAACAGAATTTCAAAACTTCCTTATTTTCTAAAGCTTAATCTGTGATAATTTTTCAATTTGTATAAGAAATGTTTCTGATTTATTATTATTACTTATCATTTTTTATTATTAATTATTATTATTATTAAAATATGCTATAATGTACCTATTACCTTTGACAAATGAACTGATTAAATTAAAGTAGTATAATTTATTGCTCTCCAATACCGTTAATAAAAATTAAGTTGTTCGGTTTTCCTCGTGTCATCTTCCTTGCAGGAAATGGTAAGGCATGCCATGTGACATCTGCCCAATAAGAGTTCTGTATTTGGTTGGTGGAATAATTAAAGCAACTTTGATCAACTGACACTTTGTTGGTGTTCTACTGTAGTTGATTTCTCAGTTGACCATTGCTAAGGTACTGTACAGTATATTGATGTGTAATATTTTTTTTTTTCAGATTATACTATATTATAATGAGATAATTTACAGGCATTTCGTGCAAGAAACTTGTTGACAGTCTCAAGGAGTGTGTTTATCTTCGTGTGTTCTAAATCTTCTGTTGTCATTTACTGTATTTGGATCTTGTGGAAAAGCAGATCTTTTGAGGCTAAAGTTTGGAATATTTGCGTAGGTGATGTTTGACAAGATGCGCAGGTTATTGCACCACAAAAATGATATTGGACCCCCTATACCGCCAAGGCCAGACATTCCAGGAGCACCAAATCCTCCATCACCAGAAAGGCAAGACTTTGCAAGCCGCATACATAGGGAAAGAGGTGAAGCATTTAGAGAGTTTCGGAACAGGAGGCAGATGAACTGTTTAGAAGACTTAAGAACTATGAACTTTTATTATGATAAAGTGAAAGAAGATGAAGTAAGTATTATATTATTTTACTATGTTATTTTTTAAAATGTTAATAAAATTATTTTCAAATTTATATTCAGCATCTACTGTTATTGACACAAATAGTCTTGACATCAAACAAACATTTTTATGCCATAATATTTAAGAGGATGATAGCCTATATGTTTAAGATTCAATTATAAAAATTGCTTATTAAGGAATCTACTACGGTTGGGTTTATTAAATAATTAGTTTTATTAAAATATTGAAAAAATATAAATTAAAGACATAAAACCATATTTTATTGTGCACATTGTTTATTAAAAATTATTGAAAATAATTTAAAATTGACACAAATAGTCTTGACATCAAACAAACATTTTTATGCCATAATATTTAAGAGGATGATAGCCTAATGTTTAGGATTAAATAATAATTGCTTATTGAGGAATCTACTACAGTTGGGATAACATAACATAGATGAATTTGTTAACATTTTTTATTACAGTTGCAGGATATTATGAATCCACACATTTATGCTACTGGGCGTTATATTTTACGAAAGAGCAATTCAAACCCTGATGCCTTTACTATTTCTGTTGTGTAAGTACTTTTTCTTGAACTTGCTATGATTTAAGAATACGTTTTCTTCTTATCTTTAGTCGTCTATGAAAAACAAACAATTTATACAATAGAATCCCTCCTTTGGGACACTATTAGGGCATGGAGCCCACAGTGTTGAAATGATACCTTTTAACACTATGACCAACACCCTTAACAGGGGACACCATTAAGGGGGACACTTTTTTGGACTGAAGGTGCACACTTTTTTGGACTGAAGGTGTACACATACTGTAGTAGGGATTCTACTACTATATAATTCCAATTCTAAATTTAACATTTTTAAAGTTTTTAAGCTATTTCTTTATCTTTTTATCTCTCACTTAAAATGTTATTGATATTTTAAACAGTTGCAGTTTGCAGAGTGAAATCCTGTAAGCCATACCAGTATTTTAATTTTTATCTAACTTTTTCATATATTTAAATCAATCTTTTTTTAGGCTATTATAGTCTGTTAATGTATCGTCTTAGTTTCTGTGCCTTTTTTGTAATTTATTGTATGTTTATTTGTTCGGAGGGCTTAGAGGATACCCCCGTCTTGTGTTGAGCTCTTAGCCAATGCTGTTCTTTGCACCCCTCTAGCTGCCTTCTGATTTGTGATTTTTGTGCCGAATTTGTAATATATAAATAAATTTATTAACAAATTAACATTCTGTATTGTTTGTCACAAGGCGTTGTCTAAAGGAAGAGTGCGAGTTAGGTATAGGATATCACCGCTAATGCATCAATTATCAACCTTAAGTTGCAACAAACACAGACGCTCTGAATTTTTTCATTTAATTTGAATTATTCCAATACTTATAGCCATCAAGGCCATGATGATCTTCCTTAAGTAAGTTTTTGCCTAAATAGATTAATGATTAAGTGTTCCTTTAATTAGAGATTTTCAATAATTGGAACCAATAATTGCAAAATTAATTGCAACCGATTACAAGCTAATGTTTATAACACAACTTCTAAGATGCTAAACTCCTATTAATTTTTAAAATTGTTGTTTGTCTTCAGGTTTTTGTGACTAACCTTTGTGGACAACCATAGGCCCTGTTTAAATCTAGGCCTATATAGAACCATGAAGGAATTCCTGCACATGTGATAGAACCATAACATTCTAGACTAAGGCTTACTGACAGATCTACCTTTTGTTGTTCATCTCATATGTTCTAAATTCACCAGTCAAATTGATTCAATTTTTTTTTTACAAGAAATACAAATGTATTAGTTTTAGCTAAAATTTTATATTAATTTTTAATAATTTACATCATAAATTTGTATCTAGATTCAAAGAGTATAAATAGAACAAGAGAGCCAACTATGCTCGTTGTGAGGCAGTGTAGAACGCCCGCTAATGATTGAGTGTACACCTGCGTCCGTGGTGCATACAGTCTGTTTTGTTTATTAGTTTTTCACATGATACAGTACCAAACAGTGCTTACCAAGTTCATAGCAGTGCTTACCAAGTTCATAAGGGGCGTACTTTAGTATACACATGTAGAGTTCCCATAGGAACTCTACACACACAGGTGTAAATACAACTGTCGTCAGCGGGCGTCCTACACAGGCGCGACATTTTTACAAGCAGGAGTATGTTCTCTTGTTCTATTTATACTCTCTGCTAGAATACTTACTTAGAGTAACCTGATATTTATTGTTGGTTACCATTTATTCCAATTCTTGGAATGGTTATGACTTATTATTATTATTATTATTATACATAGCTGTTTTGGATATGACTCAGTTGACATGACCTCCACTTCATACATTTGATCTTTAGGACCAGAAATTATATAGTAGTCAATTGTATTGATCATGTCATCATCATGCCCCTCACAAGTGACAATGTGGGAAACCTATCCAAAAAATTTAGACTTTCAAAAATAACCATTTTAAAAATATCACTTCAGTCCAGGTAATGTTTAATCAATTACTGAATGTTCTTTTAAGCCTGGTTTTCTCAAGAGCCCTAGTATCCGGATCGGGAGCTAACCGTTAGCACCTGTGTGAGAACGCCCGATCGGTTAGCGCTAACCGTTAGCGGTATCCAGATACCACTAAAGGTTAGCAAGCGATATCGGTTAGCAATTGAACACGTTTCCATCATCAACTAATCACACGTACGCATTTACAATTTCCAATTTCTTATTGGCTAGTGATTCGATCATCATATTCTTGGTATCCGGATCGGGATTTTCTCGTATGGACGCACGGCAGCTAACGGTTAGCATGATCCAGATCCTGCTAACCGTTAGCTGCTGTGTGAGAACATAGACAATGTTGTGATGTTATTGAAATAAGTCATGGGATTTTTACTTTAGTATTTTCTACTTTGTTTTTTGGGGGTAAAAAATGTGGATGTTGAAACAGTATGCATTTTATTACTTTAATCAAACTTCTACAAGTGAAAAATTTGTATACTTTAACTATTGGGTTCACTATTTTGCATGTGTGTGTGTGTAGACATTTATGCAAATGCACATGCGTCAAGTAAAAGTTTTCCAACATTTTGTTTTTCATCGCGACGCGAAGTTCTTAAGTGTTTCAGTCTGGGCTCACGGTAAACAATCGCCAAGCGATGCGAGGTTAGTTGATCGTTAATAATAGTTTAATCAATGGTTTGTGTTATTGTTTAATACGTAATATACATTTATATAATTTGTGTCAAATTTAAGAATGCACCGCGTGGGTCAATTTGTTATACGGTATACGTAGCAGAGTGACGGCAGCAAGGCTATGCCTAGCCTACTGAACTAGGGGTTAGGCTAGATTGTATACGTTTTTGATCATCGCGATGAAAACTTTGGGTGACAGATGATTTGGGCTCAACTGGAGTGGACAATTGGGCCCTAGCCATTTTTAATATGTTGTTGCCTAGTAGGCCACTGCCGGCTCCCCCTCCCTCGATATCGTTCCAAACTACTGTAAGATGAAAATACTGTATACCTTGGCCTACAAAACTAAACTACATTTTACTGTAATTTGCCCATCAAATAACATTACCAATCACTATTTTGGGCCATAAAAACTCACTCCTCCTGAATTATTCAAGTTACTGTAAACCACTACACAAATTTGACCCAACCTTATATTTTCTGATAAATTCATGTATCATGCATATGAAGGTTGACCCCTGCAAGGCTCTGGTAAACAAAATTTTGTTCCTACCGTAAAAAAGAGTTGCTGACAGCAAAAGATATTTGTTTAATGTGAAGTCTGTAAAATTTACCAAAATTTTTTTTTTTTCTTTCCCTTTTTTAGACACACTAAATCACACATCTACCACTTCAAGGTATTACCACAGAGTAACATGTATGAAGTTACGAAGGATTTAAGATTCAGAACAATACACGAAATCCTTGAATACTTCAAAAATAATAACATTCCTGGAAGTAAAATACAGAACTTAAAGCTTACGTATCCAATTAGTAAGCGAACCAAACCTAGGTCTGTTGGTGATAGACCACTGAATATGACTCCACCAGTTATACCAAGGAGGGCGAGTGATCCTGACCTCATCCGAATTCGTGATCGCCTGCCTACGCCCCCTCCTACTGATCAAGAGGAGCACAAATACACTGTAGTCGACAGCACTGAAGAAGATAAACTTGAGATGATTCTACAATTGTGTAAAGAACAGGATTTGTTCCAGCAACAAATGCGTAAAAGATGTCTATGTGGACTCTATTATGATGAATCAATACTGATTCATGACTGGATGATGCATCGTATGATCAATGGCAATGGCAAAATCTTTTTTGTTAATGAGAGAACAAAAGACACATTTTGGAAACTTCCAGATGAAATCCAAACTGACCTTAAGAACTATTATCCCAATCGTTATAAGAATTTTCTGCGCCTTCAAGATGAAAACCAATAAAAAAATGTTTCCAAGTTATTTAAGCAGAAACATTATACTTTCCAGAGATACTACTACCAATAATAAAGCTTTCACACACATATTCATGAACCATGTAATATTTATATTATAATAGGATCACTCCCTTGCCAATCCTAGCCTAGAATACTCACAGCTACGGTGGTGATAAATATTATACTCAGAGCCTTAAACTCGGCTACATTACATCAGCCTATTACATGGTTGGAATAATTAGGTTTAAAATACTGTATTGAAATTTAAAGATGTAAAGTGTACCATGCAAAATACAAACAAAATCATAAAAATCATTTTTTGAAATGAAATTGTTCATTTTGAAATCCATTTGAAGTCTTTAATTTGGTTGACAATGAATTTAAAGCCAGGCTGTGGAGGAAAAAAATTGTTTGATATGTTGGACAACTGATTTTTCTATTTTTTCCATTTCATTTATTACTCTATAAAAACAGCTAAAAAATACAATTAAAAAAAGATAGTCCAAAAAGTGGATTTTACAAAAGACAGAGACAATATTACACAAAATACAAAATATATCATAATCACCCCTTAAAATAATCTTTCAAAGCTTTATATAAATATTTGAAATTTTAAATAATTATTTCTCTAACATCAGTTGGCAAATTATCCCAATGATCATACAGATTTTTGGATATTTAAAAACTGGGGGGGGGGGCAGGCGGAGAATGGGGAAAAAGGGTGCTTATGGCCCAATTTTCTTGTAAAACACCCTTTTTATGTTCTAAAAAAAATCAGTTGTTCACCATGTCAGCAATTTTTTTTCCCTCCAGAATATGGCTTTAAAAATGTTTGTAGTAAAAAGTTTATATAATAGTGAAAACTGAACTGTTTTAATCTGTCACTTACTTGAAGTAAACAAAAATATTAAAATGAGCAACTCATTGTTTATTGTTGGCAGTTTAGGTTTTGTTACAGATAGTACTGTAAGCCTGGTATTCAAAAATATCGCTTCCATTGTGTTGCTCGTGTCGATGCAAGCGGCTAGGTTCCTCAATCAGACTGACCAATCATCTTTGCCAAAAGTTGCAGTGTGATTTCATTCAAAGAAACTAGGCTTAAAGAAGACAAATGCTAAAAATCATTCAACTATGTTGTATTCTTTAAAAGTAGGTTACAAATTTGGATAATAAAGTATGTTGTAAGAGTGTGTGTTAATGTAATACTACATTATATAGTATTTATATATATATAGATTTATTTTATTATATTGTACAATTATTAAATGGTAAATATTTTGTAAAGTGTAAATTTCATTTTAGAATTTTAAACTTAGTAGTACCTAAGAGTTTTTATGCAAATCTTTTAATTTTATATTACACAGGATTCATTGTCAGAATTTCAAATTTCAGAAATGTTTGTTTCAAAAAGATTTTTTCGCATTAGTCCATATTGCTTTCAGATAGTTATATCATTTATATATATATATATATATATATTTTTTTTTTTTCTAGTGTATGCAGTTTGATAAGATACCTGAAATCATTTTAACCTAATTTGACTCAGCCCTATGGGGATGCATGTGGGTGTGAGTATAATATAATATATGACACATTCATATCAAGGGCTTTGTTGTGATGTATTTGGAGTGTTTGAATTCCATAATTCCAATGGTAAATTATAATGAAACTGCCTGTAAAGTCTATGAAATATATACACTTGTAAAGCCTGTCATTTCTAATGAGAAATCTAGACTTAGGTAAAAAACCAAGTAATTGATTTTCAGGTAGAATCCCAGATTTGAAATCTGTTTTAATATATTGAGGAATTTTGAATATCCAAAATGAGCATAGGTATGTGTAGTGCCCCCTTTGTATTAACGACTTGAACCAGTTATTTCTTTTAACCGTTCCACTTATTGAGGCGTGCCATCCCAAAACCAGCATATTGTCACTAGGTAAACCATGGCGGAATAAGCATAAGAATATGGAAGTATTGTATACTTTAGTACTATAAGGAGAAGCACAATACTTTTTTTTCAACTTAATATTAAAATGATTTCAATATGCAATGACCAATCATTTGAAAGCTTACAATGTGGAGAATAAGAATGTACTGTATACAAAGTCAATTTTCATTTTTTTGATCGCTGGTTCTGCTTTTTGAGATAGCAAGTCTCATATAACAGTCCATAAATCGTAAGTAACAAGAACTCACTACATATAAAATGATAGTACAGTAGAAATAGTTTTGTATGATTTTTATTTTCATTTAGATATTATCATAAAAATGATCAACTATATTATATAATGAAATAATTGAGTATATTTTTAAAATATTGAATTTATAATGACCCATTTGGACAAGTCTAAATAAGTACCTCAGATATATAGTACTCTATATACCGTTTCTACAAAAATAAACTACTAAATTTCAGTAAATGTACTCGTCTTATTTTTATTCTTAATCTCTATTTGGATTGGATTGGATTTATTCGGTGTAAACACCAAGGATAGCCCACGAAAGTCTAGAAGAAGACATTTCCAGTGGGGTCCTTCTGGTGGTGATTGGGCAGTACACCGGGAGACAATCCCCTACTCTTTTCCAAAGAGTGTACTGCGTTCTTTAACGTGCACATGGGCCACAATGCACACGGGACCAACGGCTTAAACATCTCATCCGAAAGACGGTGCGCTATTGTAATTGTATTTCAGCCCTCTAGCTGAAACACAAGGAGAGGCAGCGATGGGAATTGAACCTGGGACCTAGACATCTCCACGGTTCAGCGCACACACAGTGGCTACCACCAGATTAGCTGACTGAGCTACCAAAACAAGATACATAGCACAATGTACAATTATGCTGTACATGTAACATTTTAATGAGAAGTTAATTACAACTAGTGAAATTTGTGAAGAAAGGTCGAGTGTAGCAAAAAAAAAAAAAAAAAAAAAAAATCGTGGTGGCCTGGGGATTGCCTAATGCACCTGAGAATACACAGGAGGATCAAATTGCAATAAAGCAATTTCCAACCACTGAAACAGTTTTTGCACAGCAATATGCAGTATAGTATGAACCAATGACGATGCCAGGGGTGTTCACGCCCCCATCACCCTAAAAAAATCTTGCTCCAGACGAATATGCATGCCATTTCCGGTCAGTAAAGTTACACGCAGACAAATTGTGTACCCTGTATTCACAACTCCCTGTTTTGCTGAATTCATATTATCATTATAGAGCAGGAGCCCAGGGGTGTCAGCATAGCTGGAAAGTTAACCAATTTTTGTGTATATATTAATGTTCTATGTGCCTGCCTATGTAGGAGAATGGGCATCTGCCGGTCCCATTGTGGTGGGTGTGGTCAGGAGGGGCATAAAAAGGCCCCAAAAATTGAGCTAGATCAACTTGTGAATTAACCCAATGAAACCTATCAGAATATATTCGGCATAGTTCAAGATATCACGAATGGACAATACCAGACATTTCCAATGGTGGGGGGTGGGTGCCAGACGCAAAAAACCGGTACCCCAAAATTAAGCTAGATCAGCTTGTGAGTTAACCCGATGAAACCTACTGGAAAATGTTGGGCATAGTACCATGTATCAGGAAAGGTCACCGCCAGACATTTTTAATTGTGGGGTATACCTGCCAGACACCCCCTTATAGCCCGCCCCCGAAAATTGACCTAGATCAGCTTGTGAGTTAACCCGATAAAACCTACTGGAAAATGTTCGGCATAGTACCAGGTATCATGAGTGGCCACTGCCAGACATTTTTAGTGTTGGGGTGTACCCGCCAGACACCCCCTTATACCCTGCGCCCCCTCCCCCACCAAAAAAAATAACATAGATCAGCTTGTGAGTTAACATGATCAAACGCATTGCAAAAAAAATGGGCATAGCACCAGGTATCACGAATGACCACTGCCAGACATTTTTGAGTGTGGTGTATCTACCAGACACCCCCTTATGCCCTGCACGTTCCCAACCCACCAAAAAGAAAAAAATTTTATCAAGATTACCAATGCCAAACATTTATAGTTGTGAGGTGTACCCATCAAACGTCTCCTTACTTCCCACCACCAGAATTGACCTAGATTAGGTAATGAGTTAACCTGATGAAATTTACTGTGTAAGATGTTCATTGTAGTCCAAGTTATTATGAATGGCCACTGTCAGACAATTCTGATGTTGGGGTGTGTCTGCCAGACACCCCTTATTCCCCGCCCCCAAAAATTGACCTAGATTATCTAGTAAGTTAACGTGATGAAAGTAACTGTGAAATGTTCGGCATTGTGGTGGGCAAAGTAATAGAAAACCTCTAGTCGTTTACGGCCTGACACTGATCACCTGTAAAAATTAGTATTAAAACTGAGCACTGCATGAGGGTTTTTGGAAGCACACTTGAAACATCAAAGGTAGATTTCGTCCCTCTGTGTTTGGCCCTCCAATTGATTTTTATGCCCATCCCTACTCTAAATAATATGAGTGGATTTTAAGGATAGAAGTGATATTATGAACTGATATTGATATTAAACTTATTGTTAGATTATTATGATTCAATCTAATGTATTTTTTGGGAGATATACGGAAATTCCGTTGTCTTAATCGATCAGAAAATTTGCAATGGCCTAGGCCATCCATGTTGTATGTAAAATAAAAAAAATTGGTTAGCATCCTTATGTTATCAATTTTCATGGTAGGGAGGGAGGTGTTTTTTTTTTTTCTCAGGGTGTACTAGTCAGGAAGCATTTGTATTTTACTTCAATTATTTAGCCAAGTCTGATTTTTCACTTTTATTTGTTCAGTGACGCCACAAGGAACAGTTTTCAGCTTATTGTCCAATTTGTAGATGCGTTTTTCACTCGTTGGGGGCGCTTTAAAAAAAATGGCGGTTTGTGATATTGGTGCCTACTGTATATCTCGGCAACCATTGATGATAGAAGCTTCTAAATGGTCTCAAAATGTTCACAATGTATATACTATTTGCGCTAATAGAACATTTTGCTGAAAAATGGCAGGAAATGCCATTTCTGGCAATTTGACCTTTGACCTTGTATGTTCATATCTCTGTAAATACTAGTCGTATAGACTTGAAATTAATTTCAAATTGTTCGCAATATGTATATTTATATTTACTTTAATGAACATGTTTGTTCAGAAATGCAAGGAAACGTCATATTTGACCTTTGACACAAAATGCGTTCCTGTTAGGGTATATCCTTTACTGACTTTACTTAGATAATGTATTTTGGTCATAAAAGTGTTATAACATTTATATTAATAATTTCTTCAGTAGGAAATATTGTTTAAAAGTTATAAAAGTAGTATTGCCAACAATCTTATGATCAGGTTGCCATTTACCAATCCAGTCAATAAAGTTCCTTAATATCATTAGTATTAATATTAGTATTAGTATTTAGATACGCTATTCATAGAAAACTATATCATAGCGTTTACAGAGTTGAATAATGATTTGAAGCAATAAGCTCAAGTTAATTTTGAAAAAAGATATGTTTTCAGTAGTTTTTTAAAAGATTCAACATTATTTGTTGTTTTAATAGCTGTAGGGAGTTTATTCCATTCTATGGCCGCTGTTACACTAAAGGAACGATCACCTGATCTGCTATGAACTAAGGGGCATGAAAGGCGAAAAGGGTTTTTGATTCAGAGCGAAGATTTGGTCGTAATGTATGATGAACTTTTAAACAACTACTGAAGTATATTGGTGCTTGATCATTGAAAAATTTAAACACAAATAAAAGAATTTTAAATAAAATGCGTTCTTTGATGTATAAAGTGACCATGTTACCGGTACTAAAATAAGTCAATACATGACAAAAAATAAGGAATGTCTACATCTTTTACATATTTAACAAGTACTGTACAATCCAATTTTGACTATCATGCTGGTATCTTACAAAAAAAGAAAATTAATGAAAAAGAAAATATGATACTCCTTGTCCCCCAAAAATTGATCTGGATTATCTAGTGAGTTAACCTGATGAAAGTTACTGTAAAATATTCGGCATTGTCCCAGGTATCATAAATGGCAGGAGCCAGACATTTTTGATTGTAGGATGTACCCGCCTACATTCGCCTTAATACCCGTTCCCCTTTAATACCATTCCCCTTTAATAGAGCTAGATTATCTCATGAGTTACTGTAACTATCTAATACCCCAATACATACAGTATAGTCATTTTTTCAATAGGGTGTAACTTTGAATTTTGAGTAAGTTAATTGCTTTAATTTTCTTACGCTGAAAGTATAGTCATATGTTCAATGAACTCAAAAAATGTCTTCAAGAATGCTAAGGCACCTAAAAGAATGGTGCTATGATATATTCAACTGTGTAGATGGTAAATCATCACAAACGTTGGTCTTTAATCAAATTAGTAATAAGATACTACTTAGATAATACTAATAATTGGTACATAACAAATACTTATATAGCACCAATTCAAAATTTATCTATTAAGCATTACTAAGTGAGTAAATAAGGCAAGTTTAACATTCCTGTAATAAAAAAGTTTTTAGATTTTTCTAAACCAAATTAGGCAAATAGGCAAACTATATACTTACGACATTTAATTTGAATTTTATATAATTCAACTTGTAATTAAAATTAAACGTGAAGTTACTGTAGTATTCCTTACAATAAGATTAACAATTCAAGCTTATAATAATTTCATATAGCCCGAGTGAGTTTTAACTTAGGCAACCCTTCCTAAAAAGGTACACTTTCATCATCTTCTACGGATGGAATACTGTAACCTGTGTGAAGCACGAACTCCTAAACCCAGTACTATTACGACTTTTAATTGTCGGGAAATCTACTTTACTGAATATTGGGCATTTATACATTTTAAATCCTGTATAGAATCTTATTGTTAAACTGTTGTAATATTGACTACCGGTACTAAAAATAATAAAGGATTATATAGTATTACTATATAGTATTAGTACTTGTAGTTTTCCATCCAGTCTGAAGCTAATTTCATGGCTCTCCACCCACCCTTATTAACCCACACTTCCATCCTTGCAGTATAATAGACTCTTATTTAGAGTAGGGGTGGGCATAAAATCAATCGGAGGGCCAAAGTGAATTTTCGATTTAACACAGAGGGTCGAAACTTAGCCTTGATGTTTCAAGTGTGCTTCCAAAAACCTTCATGCAGTGCTTTTGTATGTCATTTGATTCTCAGTTTTAATATTACTTTTTACTGGTGATCAGTGTCGGGCCGTAAAAGACTAGGGGTTTGCTATAACTGTGCCCACCACAATGCCGAACACTTCACAGTTACTTTCATCACATTAACTTACTAGATAATACTAGATAATCTAGGTTATTTTTTGGGGCGGGGAATAATGGGGTGTCTGGCAGACACGCACCACCATCAGAATTGTCTGGCGGTGGCCATTCATAATAACTTGGACTA